CACCCTATTACCTCTTCATATAATCAAAATTCCTCACCTTCTCCACCCATCTCTCCCATCTCTCCCACTTCCATCTCTCCTCATTCTTCACCTATACTACCATTACCACCTTCAAATCCAGACACTCACCCTATGCAAACCCGATCCAAATCAGGTATTTTTAAACCTAAGGCTTATTCCGCCACTAAACACCCTCTTCCTTCTCACATATCTCCTGATTTTCTTCCCACCACTTATCTCCAAGCCTCCAAACATTCTCACTGGAGATAGGCCATGCAGGAGGAATTCAATGCTTTGGTCAATACCAATACTTGGTCTTTTGTTTCTCCTCATCCATCTCAAAATCTTGTTGGATGTAAATGGGTTTTTCGCATTAAAAGGAAAGCTGATGGCACTATTGACCGCTATAAAGCACGGTTGGTCGCAAAAGGTTTCCATCAACAAGAAGGTTTGGACTACACAGAAACCTTCAGTCCGGTTGCTAAACCGGTTACTATCCGGCTTCTTCTCACTCTTGCTTCTCAGTATGACTGGTTTCTAAACCAGCTAGATGTCAGTAATGCTTTTCTGCATGGCATTCTCTCTGAAACTGTATTCATGCAGCAACCCTTTGGCTTTCAAGATCCTACTAAGCCGAATCATGTTTGCAAGTTACATAAGAGTCTTTATGGCCTCAAGCAAGCTCCTCGTGCTTGGTATGAGAAACTTCATGGTGCACTTAAATCTATGGGATTTTGTGGTTCACAAAATGATCATTCACTTTTTGTCAAGAAGGATCCTTCTCTGGTGTTTATCCTTGTTTATGTGGATGACATTTTAGTCACCGGTCCATCTTCCCAAGCTTGCAAGGATACAATAGCTCAACTCAGTGCTCTTTTTCCGGTCAAGGATCTAGGTCCCCTACATTTGTTCCTTGGCATTGAGGTTCACAGGTCCTCTTCTGGAATCTTTATCTCTCAAACTAAATATATTCTTGATCTGCTTACCAAGACCAATATGGCCGGTGCAAAACCATGTGCTACACCTCTTAGTACATCTAAGTTGGATCATTCTTCTCCTTTGCTCTCTAATCCAGAAGAATACAGATCGATTGTTGGTGGCCTACAGTATCTTACTTGGTTCCGACCTGACCTTTCTTTTGCTGTTAACTTGGTTTGTCAATTTATACATCAACCAAGACAATCACATTTCCAGGCAGTTAAACACATATTGCGCTATCTGAAAGGCACACTTGAGCTTGGTCTCTGGTTTCCAAAAACCTCAGGTTCTCTCACTGTTAATGCCTTCTCTGATGCAGATTAGGCAGGATGTTCACTGGATAGAAAATCTACAGGTGGTTATTGTATTTTTCTGGGCAACTCTCTCATTAGTTGGAGTGCTAAAAAGCAGCCAACCGTGGCTCGTTCCTCCACTGAAGCAGAGTATCGCTCCTTAGCAAACACCGCTGCTGAAATTACATGGCTTTGCAAGTTACTTGTTGATGTTGGTGTCTCTCTATCGTGTCTCTCTATCATGTTCTCCTACATTGTGGTGTGATAACATTTCGGCGATATCCTTAGCTAAGAATCCCTTATTTCATGCCCGGACAAAACATGTAGAGATTGACTATCACTATATCCGGGAAAAGGTTCTTTCCAATGTTGTCATTGTTCAGTTTGTGTGTTCACAGGACCAAATTGCGGATATTTGCACCAAATCTCTGCCTACTTCTCGGTTTTTACTTCTTCGAGACAAACTATCTCTTCGGTTACCTACGCTCAGTTTGAGGGGGCATATTAAGGATAGTTTATCTTGATTTTTCTATTGTAATTAGTTGTAGGACAGATAGGATTGTTGTGCCTTGTTGGCAAATGTATAGCTGCTTAGTTGGCATATGTATAGCTCTATATAAAGTTATAAACCAATGATGTACTCTAATTAATTTTCAATGAAACAGTTTTCCTAATAAATACAAGGCCACCCTCTCTTTGCGTATCCAACCTTACCCTTCTCCTAAATTCTAATCAAACTTTATGATTTATTTTCTGGGATTTGAGTTTTTTATCTCCCAATTTTTTTTTTTTGGTAGAGGTATTAATTTTCCTTTGACTGGAAATTTAGGGCTTCTTAAAGTATAATGTTATCAAATTCTATATTTCTATTTTTCTAATTTTGGGCTTTTGTGGTCTTTGAAATGGTTATGTGCTGTTTTTTAACGTTTTAGTTCTCGCGTGTTCCGTTCTTTGGTTTCTGTTGTCTGCCTCCTTCTAAGTTGCTTAGTATTTTCATTTTCCATTGTTGGCTTATGGAAATTTGTAAAAATGGTTGTAGTTTTCTGACCAAATCCTAGTAAGAATATGCCGAAACACAGTGTAGCATGCAGTGGACATCCGTTAAGTTTCTCTTACTCGCTATACGTCGACTTTTGCCATTGACCTATCCCTTACGACCTCGCCATCAAGTAACAAGGTATGGATTTAACTCTAAATCTCCCTTGCAAACTCTTTTCAATTTTTTGTATATGTTTTATGAATTACATAAAATTTTCTCTTCCTAATGTTTAATTGTTGTTAATTTTACAGTTTAGGTGTTTCCCCTAATCTGGATGGTTAAATTTTGAACATTTCTTCTTCCAAAATCCACATGAACTGAACTTTAGTGCTGAACAGACCTGGGTTTTATTTTGTGCTGGAGTTCATATGTATTTAGATTGGGAACATAATCTTTGTTGAATTCTAAGTTTTTATCCACTTTTGCTTTTTTTCCCTTTCAATGGTTTCAATTAATTGTTGTTTTAGTATAACTATTGCCTATATGTTTCGGTTGAGGTACTTTTCTCACCTGTTCTTTCTTCTTTTTTATGTTTAAATTTATATGGAATTCATCTTTTGTGAGCTTTCATTCCAGGATTTGTTTTGTAAATGATTTCAAAACAAAGAAAAATTTTGCTGCTGGTATTCCATCCATAGTTAATGAAAGGTTGTTGTAATTGTTTTCTCCATTGGATGTGTTCTAATGTTATGTTTTTCGTTGCACAACTGATTAATCGTTATCTTCTCACTAAGAATTTTCAATTTGAATATCACATGAGTTCGAAAGCTTCTTTTCACAATTTGGTAAGGTCGTGGAGCATAAGATCATATGCGATCAAGTCACAAAGCGCTATGAAACACGTATTATATTCCAACAAGGATATGATAAGAAAAGTAATTAAACTGAAAACAATAAAATTACAGCATCCCATGTAATTTTTATGTGTATAATGTAGGAGGAAGAGGTGGCAGCAAGCGAACAAGTACAGGGAGCTATTTTTAATGTGTAATTTTAATTATATTCGGTTCGGTATTGGCTTCCACCATCTGATTCTGTTCTTTCATTATTTTATGTGTTATTGTTCTTCTTGACCATTACTGGGAGCTATGTTTCATAGGGATGCTGCACTTCTTGGTGCTATATGTGGGATAGAAGAAACATCAGCTTTTGAGGTTGTCATTCATTGCTTGTGGTATGTACTTCGTGTTTTACGGATCTATGCTTTCTGTGCTAATTTTTATTGTTATTGTTGTTGGGTAAGTATTTAAGTTAAGTAGTAGCAAACATAGTGTTTTGGCTCTTGCAAGGGAATTGTCTTTTTACCCCAGTAAGTTATACAGATTTAGAATGGGAGTAAGTGTATTGCAGATTGTTCTGTTCAATAGAAATATAGACATGCTGGGTGGAACCGATTGCGTATTTGGACCTTATTCTTGGAAGAAGACTGCATTATTAAATAAAGGGAGTTTTAACAAAATACTCTCGGTACTGTTCACTTTTAACGAAAAACCACATTTATACCTTTCCCTGGTACTATTCACTATACCTTTAAAAAAAGTTTTTAATTAAAATTGAAGTTTTTTTGGACTTTTCGTTAGTTTTCCTTTAAATTATAAACTGTATATAATTGGGTTACAAGATATGGCTACAAGAGGAATTAAATATGTGGATTGCTTGCTGAATGGTGTGTATAGTCTGCAAGGAGGGGAAAAAGAAGGGGAGAAATTGAAATTCCTTCTCGTCCATTATTTGGTTGGTCAAGGATGAAAATACTCATCTTTCAAAAAGCTCAAACATCTTTCAATGTAAATAACATTAAATTCTGCAACAATTTCTTATAGCTTTGAAACATGGTTTCTAATCCCGCAGTAGTGCGCGGGCCATATTTCTAGTTTTCACTAAAGCTTTGGGAAAGGAACGTTTTAAATCTCTATTAGGCAAGTTGGGCGTTTTTAATAAGGGAGAGCATCACGGGCTGATTACTTAATTACTTTGTACCAATTGGCTATGTAGTAGGGATTCTTGTAATTCTATATACCTATATTCTACAACAATCAAAATCAATCCAATTGCAGTAAATTCCAGAACTTCCAGAACTAATTTTTAGAAAACTTGGCAATTTGTTTATCTTTTAGGAATGATTTATGTCACGTATCATTTTTCTTTTCGTGCACATTCTTTGAATCTTGCATACCTTATATATTAGCTATATATTTTTTGTAGAAAATCCTCCGTAAATGATTTCCGATTTTACTAAATTAAGTTCCTTCTCTCAACCAACTTGCTGTATTCCCCTCCTTTTCAATTTTGGTGTACATTACCTACTCTCTTCACAAACAACCACATAGCCAAAATAGTATAGTGTTCAACCAACTTACTCTATTCCCTTCCTTTACAACTTTTGTATTTGTAATACAATGAAACTTGCCTGAACTTAGCTGACTTTTTAAAACGTTAGTGATGATTTGTGATAATAAAATTATGAAGCTGGAAGCTTTTTATGATACCCGTTTTTTATTTTAGTAACAGCATGAGCCATTATTTTATACTTAGCAGTATAAGCACAAAAACATTCAAATACCAAATTTAGCTGCCAAGTAACGTATTCCATTTTCCTTCGACTAAAACTCTGCCCTATGTTGCAAACTTAGCAGCCCAGATTATGATTTTTATTTTGAAGGAAGTTGATCGAAACAATTGATCCAATCTAGGTATTGAAGCATAAATTTATTATTCGAAAAGAAAATCATTTTATCATACTACCAAATACCGAAAAGAGCTGATTTCACAATTTATAATCACCATGCTGTAGAAACTTCTTCAGTTCTGCTTTCTACTATATTATCAAACAGAAAAAAGAAAATAGTTTAGAGGAAATGCAAATGATTTATTAGCTGATATGTTTGAGTGTGCTAAGGTGGAGTCAAACTGATAACCATGCAGCTCAAGTTCTCTCGCTTCTGTTCTCCCAGTAATCTGAATCAGGATTGACGGGATACAGATCGTGAGTAGACGCAGACGAAGCAGTCCATGGCCCTTCAGTTGACCCCGTTTCTATCTGTTTCTCGCCCGTGCCCCTTCCAAAACTAGATTGAAAATGTTTCCTCATTGCATCGATCTCAATCCTCTCGGCATTTGGATCCGAGACCAACTCCTGAACAACAGCCTTTCCTTCGAGCATGCTCACAACCGAAGACATGGTAGGCCTAACTGTCGAAGTAACATTACAACAAAGAAGAGCCACATTAATTGCAACAATCATCTCCTCTTTGTTAAAGTCTGATCCCAACCTTGGATCAACTAGGTCCATCAAATTCCCTTGCTCTTTTAGATGTCGTGCCTACAAAAAATGGAAGAAACAAAAGCAATATAAACTCTGTCTTTGGATTAAACTTCACAGATTCAAACATACTTTATCACATATAAGGTATATTGAGAAAATTGAAGTTAAATTAAGAAGTAGATTCATGTTACCCAATCAAGAATATAAAAGCTTGCTTCCTTTTTCCGGTAAGTTGTGTTTTTTCTCCCGCTAACAATTTCCAATATGAGAATACCAAAACTATAGACATCTGCTTTATGAGTCAGATAACCCCGCATTGCATATTCGGGCGCCATATATCCACTGCAATAATATGAAATCATATCATTAACCCAGATTTAGCTAAAATAACCAGGAAAAATATTGCTAATTGAATACTTAAGATTAATCCAATAGTTAGAGAGATACACAGTAATACAACTATATTGAAAGAACAAATCTGCCCTTGAAATTTCTTAAACAACAAAGATTTTTTGAGGTTAAAATTTATGTAAGTTAGAGACTTTCCGTTGCTCTATCTTCTTTTTTAAGGGTGGAAGAAGATCAAAACAAGAGAATAAGAACATAAATAAAAGTTTAGGGACTCACTAAGTTCCAGCAATACGGGTGCTAATGTGTGTATTATCCTCTTCATCAAGCTTGGCCAATCCAAAGTCAGATATTTTCGGGTTAAGATTTTTATCAAGCAAAACATTAGTAGCCTTGATGTCTCTATGAACGACCTTCAATGTTGATTCCTCATGAAGAAAAGCCAAACCTCTTGCTGTACCAATACAAATCTTGTGCCTTGTTGGCCAATCCAACTTCAAATGACTTTCGTTTGCCCCTTCAATTTGCCAAATTAAACAAAGTTAGTTGTAAGGGACATATTTTTAGTGCATAAGATCTTTTCTGCCCACTTTATGAATGAAATGAACTTTTGCAAACGAGACTGATATTTACTAAACAAAGCATGAGCAACGCTATTATTTTCCAGGTACTCATAGACAAGCAATAGTTGATTTCCTTCAATACAACATCCGTGGAGCTTGACAAGATGACGGTGTTGCAGAGCAGAAATCATGCCAATCTCATTAACAAATTCACGATTCCCTTGCTTTGATTTGGAAGAAAGCTGCTTAACGGCTATTACGGTGCCATCTGCTAGAACGCCCTACATTTGAGAAAGGAAGTCAAATTCGCATCACCATGGAGCAAATTAACTTTCATTAGAACAGACAGTATCAAATTAGAAAAAAAAATGTAATCAACAAATAAATTATTTGCTCCGAAGAATACCTTAAAAACAGAACCAAAACCACCTTCACCAATCTTATTGGCTTTGTTAAAGTTGCTTGTGGCATCTTTAAGTTGCTTGAAGGTAAATTTACCAGTTTGCAGGTCCACACCCTTCAAATCTGTATAACAACTAAAACTCATAAGAAATTGTGTCTTAAGAAAACTTTCAGAACGATAGCATTCTTAGTTCTTAATATTTTGTGCCTGATTCTAGAATTTAACAAGTAACTGGATCTATAGGCAGACACTTTGCATCATGGTGTTTGGACGATAAATATATTACAACAACATCAAAGTGCCGGACAGCTCAATATCTAAATAATTACTGTCTTTGTGGTGCACGTCAATATGCATGAGAACCATGAAAAGTAGCATAAATATCGTACTTAGTTACGAAAAAAGCTCAAAGAGAAAAAGTAATGGAGAAACAAAAAGGAAAAACCAGTATAACAGAAGAAACTGCAAATTAATACCATCCTCCAATGTCTTTTGTTGTCCTAGGAGGCCTCTCTTCCAAAGAATACCAAATATCAGTAGTATAATGAAGACTCCTCCAACCACAATTCCAACCACGGCACGTACAGGCATGCCACTTCCACCAGGTTGCGGGGGATCAAAGTCTGTCGGAAGAAAGAATATAGCTTAAATTAGAGTAAATGTAAATGTAATTGATATGAGAGTGGATTACTCAACCAGCTATCTAATGCACACAGAAACAAAAGATTGAACCCGGTCTTTGGGGCATCCTTAAATAAGTAGATAGTATAAGTAATCCCTCGAACAAACTTTCTTTGGATGGTTGTAAATATTATATGTTTCCTTAAGTGAACTGGATAGTTTTCAAGTAAATAGTTAAAAATCCTCAAAGTTGAATTTTGTTGTTTTTAAAAGCGCATACTCGTCACCTAGAAAAAAACAACATATTATCAAGTCTTGGCTCAAACTACGTAAAACAGGAGAAAAACACAGAAGCATTTTTGTGAAATTACAAGGGAAAGGAAATATTGAAGAAGAAGAACCTTTCAGAACTGAAATCGGATCTCTTAATTTAGTAGATATATCAATGCATAGGGTCGACACATAGTAATTAGACGAAGCTCAGATCAGTGAAAACTTACTTGGGTCTACTGAAATAGCTGAAATAAGTGGACCATAGACTCCTCTATAAGGGATGGCCGTCGTCCCTTTCCCAGCCCAAAAGAAACGAATCTCCAATGTATTATTAGTTACAGGAGCAGTAAAGTTCTGTATGACTACATCACCAAACACACCAGCCTCATCCATGATATTGAAGTCCTTCTTCACTAGTTTTCCCTGCAATATATATATGTATATATACTAATTTAGTTGCTTAACATTTCATGATCATAAATGTGAAAGTTAACATTCAAATCGACCAAAATATAAACAATGCTTGTTGAAAATTAGAATAATTCACTGGTATATATGGAAGTGGATGCGATACTTACCTGAATGTAAATATCAAATATGCGCCTTCCCAAGCTTTTATATGTTTTGCCATTTCTAAACATTATCTCTGCAAAATGGAGGTTTACGGTGTAGTTTCCATTTCCCAGACAAAACCCAAAATAAGTTAGAGATATGGGAGAAAGGCGTGCGTTCATGTACAGTTGAGGATTGGCCATAGAGAGTCTAGTTTCATTAGTCCATGTAAAGGTGTCATAAGGGCGGTCATCATCAGGGAAGTAACCGGTGCTGCTTAATGCCCAATTTGTTGTGCTCTTGTAAAATGATGAAGGTCCAGCAGAAAATGTGTCATCACCATATACTGTATCTTTTCCTCCAGGGACCGTAAATTGTTTCCCACCACAATTTATATGGAGAGAGTAGTACAAATCTATGAAAAAATAAATTGGAGATTAGTAGGCATTGAGGAGGAAAACTAAAAAAGAATGAATCGAAAAAATAAAGGTAATTATTTGTGTAGAAACTCGGCTTACATTTTGGACACTCTGAAGTTTTGAAACATGAAATAATTCTCCGGATATAGTAATTCAGGGTACAAAAAATGTCAGCAATCATAAATGAGACGAAATTGGAAAAAAAAATAGTAAAGAATACACCATTGGATACCGAAGTAAATTTATAGGTGCATGCTTTGAGATGATTAATTTGAACTTACGAACTATTTCCTTTTGACGAGCTTGCAAACAAGTTACTGCAGAAATTAACACAAATGAAAAGTTAAGCTTATCTCCACATAACACAAACAGATTAACTTCAAGCTAATGAAGACATTCTTACGTGCCACCTCGTGGTTGACAACTTGCATCCTCTATGGCGAGGTTGTTATACGAAAGATCACTGCACAAAAAGAGCTATGATGCAAATTCTGTTGAATTGTAGGTCTCTAGCTGATTAGAATTAGTGAAATAAGTTATGAGCTTAATAGTTTTATATCTATCTTAGTAAAAAAAACAGCATAAATTTCCTTAGTAGCTAAAGAGTAGCATTTGGAAGAGAAGCTTACACGTTGACTCTTGGCCAAGCAGGTACAGGTCCAGTCAGCAAGTTTCCAGTTAAGAATCTAAAAATAATGAATACAGAAAAAAACTCAGTAAAGAATATAGTGTTTGTTCTTAGGAATTTCTCTGTAAAGGTTTGAAAACTTGAGTTTGCCAACTCTAAGTGGATTAGATCGGTACTTCCATCTGAAAGACACATCTAAAGGTGATCACCTTATGTTAATTAATTGCATAAGCAGTAATGACTCTAATGAATAAACTAAACATTTCATTTCTGAGCAGAGGAGCCGTTTTCATTTTCATTGCAGTATAATCCGTGACTCATAATTATAGTAATCGTGATTTGAAATACTTCCAGCTTGTCAGGCTGGGGTGTAACAAAACCATTGAAGAATGTCTGCTTGAATTTCATGTAAGAAAGACTGGATTGGTCATTCCAATTGCTTACATATAAGCCACATTTGGTAGACTATCGAAGCTGCTTGGAATTTCTCCGGTCAGCTTGTTAAAGCTGAGGTCTCTGCACAAACAAATAGCAAACGCAGTTTAGTTGTGCTCTCTACAGAGAGGGAAATGACATCTGAAAGAGATGTTCTCTTAATAAATACAGAAACATAAAGTCCGCCCAACATTGTCTAAGTCACTTCAATAATTCTTGAATTAGTAGAATCACATCTAGAAGAAATTTTTTATTTGAAGACGGAAAAAATAGGGACCAAGACATTTGTACTTACAAAGTTTTCAAGTTTTTCATTTGTGCAAGATATAGAGGTATCTTTCCAGTAAGGTTGCAACTCCTCAACATCCTGCAACAGACTCCAAAGCTATGAGTTTACAGAAGACTTCTGGTACAGACAGAAATTGTGTGTCATGGAACCATTAACTCACAGTGTCTTCATGTTTTTCATCTTCTCGAGCGAAGGAATGGGTGATTCAGGTCCACTCAAGTCAGTGATTCTCCTGCATGTTAAAATTGAGCCATGAACATAAACTACACATATCGCTAATCGTTTTGTATTTAAAAATAGAGACGGGATATACTAACAAGTCAGTTAAGTTTGTCAAACGAGAAATGCCAGGAGGAATTGGCCCTGTCAAACCGCTAGCCTGAATCACTCTGTTTCAACGAGTCATAACATATGAATTAGAGATAATATTCAGAATCAAATAGCAGAAAGATGACACACAAAAGAAAAACACTCACAGTTTTTCAAGATTTGCCCAGTTCTTAATAAAATCAGGTATCTGCCCGAAAAAGTGACTGTCACTAACCCGACTGCATAATGATTGGAGAAAAGGGAAAATACGAATTAGTATCAGAAAGCAGTAAAAAAAATGTATAAGTGCTCGGGAAACCTTTAAGAAGAAAGAACCACAGAAACTTACAAGTCCTTTATTTTGGTAAGCTTTGCAAATGTTTCTGGCAACTCCCCAGTAAAGTTGTTTGAGCAAAGCAGCCTAAGTACGAAATAGATATAACCATTATATCAATGATAAAGAAGTAGATGATTTACTAGTGAAAACATCCAGAATTTGTCTACAAGAAAGAAAACTCCAAATAAACCAAATACTTTTTAACACGGTAAAATTCGAAAAGGACTCTTACAATCTTTCTATGTGGGCCCAAGATCCAAGCTCCTGAGGGAGAGGTCCAGAGAAATTATTGAAACTGATGTCCCTATACAAACAAATTCAATTCCATTGATTAAAAAAACATCATTAAGGATCTCCATGGAATCAAATGGGGTAAGCAAGAAACAAATGCGCAATCAACACTCACAAACTCTTCAGGGTGGTGATGTTTCCGAGCTCTTTGGGGATAGAACCGGTCAAACGATTTCCAAGAAGGGATCTGTATCAAAAACTAGTCTTAATATCACTTTTATCAAGCAAGAGGCTCAATAACATTAACATGTTCGTCAATACGAAGGCAATGAACCCCATGTGTTCGATTCAATATTTATGATTCAAACGCCTCATGACCACGGAAGCCCATCATCATGAACAAAACCAAATGTAGTAGATTTATAGTTTAAGAAAGAAATGGCTGAAGAACATTGGAGTGACCAAATGAAGCAATAAGAACATGACACGAACATCAAACACAGAAGTGCATGCAGTTTGAGAGAAGACAGTACATGTTCAAAAGTGGAAGAGAGCTCCATTCTGGAGGGATGGTACCGCTCAGGTAGTTGCGGGTCAGGTCGCTGAAGGAGAAAGAAAGAAACCAGTTATTGTCTCATTGGCAACAGACATAAAGGTAAGCTATATATGAAATTAGAATAAACGATTTACACGATACAAAGTTATTTTCTTTTAAATAATGTAAACTTGGAGGGGTAAAAATGTGCTTACATTTCTTGAAGATAGGTGAGATCTACCAGCTCTAGTGGGAGTGTTCCTTTCAAATCTTGGGCTTTTAGAATTCTGTGTTTTCAGAAAATAATGTTTCAAAGATTAGTTGCAAATTAACAGATATTCATTATGCATCTATACTGTGACTAAAAGGAAAAGCTGCCACAGAAATGAGACCAAACAGGTAAAACACTAATTTATCACAGAAAATACTTACTTTTGGTCAGGGAATTAAATAGGAAGAAGGAACTGGTTTTCATACTTTAAAACTGAAGGAAAATGTCCAATGTTCTTTAGAAAGAATAAAACTTGAGGAATTACACAAACGGTAAATGTGTATTTGTTACAAGCACACTATGAATCATTCTTTCATTGACTTTGTAACGAATAACTAGGCCGATACAGAGTTGTTCGTGTATAAGAAGTATGCAAGAATCTTCGTGACTGCGAAATTTTGTACGTTGATCAAGTATGTAAGAATCAAGCCTAAATACAGCACAGCAGTATTACCAAGTTCTAACAACTCAGCGTACCACAGAACGCCTATGCTGGCTCATGGCCAGCTCAAAAACACATTGCTATAGTAATTGAGCAAATTGGTCACATCCCATGAACTCGATTTTGCAGATAAACTAAACTTGAATTGCGGTCCATGGTAGGTTGTAATTGATGTTTAATTGGTCATTCAATAAAAGAAATGGATCAGTCCTTCTGCATTTCTTGAATTTGAAGGCGCAACAAGGTCTTATTAGACCAAGAAAAACTTCCAATTGGTTGCCGGTTGAAGAAAAATTAAAAATCCCGAGGGTAAAGGATTTGGGAAAATGGAAACCCCACTAGGGTCTAGAGATATCATAATAACGTTGGCTTTATACCCACTGATGGATCACAAATTAGTGATTGTATAACGACGGCAAAAGTAGCCTAATTTTAAGATGCGTTCCAATTTTCTTCATATTTTTGTTCGTAAACCGACAAAAACAGAATTGGTTGAAATCGAAATTTTCAATCCAACTTACATGTCAAAAATAACTTATAGCTTTAAGAAAATGATTATTGCATAACTTGGTTTTATTCATGTCCCTTGAAACGTGAAAGGCTAGAAATCAATAATGTGCATGAAGAGAAAATGACGAGTGATGATCACTTTTCATAGCTCTAAACAGTAGCAACATTTACTTGCTTTACATATATAAAATAAGAGCCTTAAAATCTTTACGCCCCCGAAGCTAAGAGAAATTTTGTGTGTAAGGAACAAATCTGGTTCATTAAGTGTCATAATACAAACGGTTGGAAGTTCTTTTTCAAGTATTTAACCACTTGTATTATGATACTTGATGTACCGGACTGTACTCCTAGCACACTAAAAAATCTCTCTGAAGCTAGGGTCGGGGCGTGAGAAAATCACAAAGAAACAAACGAGCTCGATTGTGCTATTAAACTAGGGGTGTGCTATCCACACACCCCATTTTACTTCTCACACATCTTTGATAATTTATGTCCATTGATATTCTTCAATTCATCCGATCCGACGGCCGAAAATTAAAGAGATGTGTGAGAAATAAAATGTGATGTGTGGATATCACACCCTTTAAACTAACATCCTTCAAATCTAATTGAAATCAATCGGTCTAGCTACCTGGCCCGACATAAGGTTGAATGAGTGAATGCAACGTGCCAAGTTGCCAATATGCAACTTGATGAGGCCCACACATCTTTGATAATTTATGTCCATTGATAGTCTTCAATTCATCCGATCCGACGGCCGAAAATTAAAGAGATGTGTGAGAAATAAAATGTGATGTGTGGATATCACACCCTTTAAACTAACATCCTTCAAATCTAATTGAAATCAATCGGTCTAGCTACCTGGCCCGACATAAGGTTGAATGAGTGAATGCGACGTGCTAAGTTGCCAATATGCAACTCGATGAGGCCCACACTAGACCTTATAATTCCTACTTTATTTTGGAGGTTTCATGGGCTTGGGGTTAGGTTAGGAGACATGTAATGAAAAATTGATTGTTACTTTATACTAAATAGACGTGGGGTCCACAAACCCGAATGCCAACCATCTAATCAACATCTCTCGTTGTTTTTATAAGTTTTTCCCACTTTCGAAAAGGTGAACTATCCTGACGAAATCACTAGTTAATTCCCATTTTGAAAGAAAAACATCTCTCCTCGCACACTTGTGATCATTTTGGAGGTTTCATGGGCTTGGGGTTAGGTTAGGGGACATGTAATGAAAAATTGATTGATACTTTATACCAAATAGACATGGGGTCCACTAAACCGAATTCCAACCATCTAATCAACATCTCTATTGTTGTCTCTATGAATTTTCTCGACTTTTGAAAGGGTAAACTGTTGTGACGAAATCACCAGCTAATCCCCTCTCTGAAATAAAAACATCTCTCCCGCACAATTGTGATCAGTTTACATCGAACAAATTTATTATTTTTAATATTTTTGATATAATATTATATATCATGCTAAGAAAAATTTGCACGTATTAATTTTATGATATTTAACTTGTTCAATGTAAGTTATTCGTCTCGCTTAGTCTACATGCATAGTTAATTTTATCTATAGGAGGCAAGTGACCCTTTACCACAGTGGTAGAAAAGTGTTGAGCTCTTACATGATGACGTGGATTCAAACCCCGTTGCTGACTAATTTAACATTTAACCTAACAAAATCTATTTTTTGACAAAAAAAAATTCTATGTAGGAGAAAGCGCTCATTAAGTAGAGATTTTTTCAAGCAGTACATCATATATCATAATATAAGTGAAAAAAATGACTTTTTTTTTAATATTTCTTCACTCATCGACTGGATGGTACGTGGACGTAGACCTTTCTTGTTTTTTCTCTTTAATGTGATTGGTATAACAAAGACTGAAAAACTTTGATCCTATCCTTCTCAACCTTTCACAACAAAACGAGCCTAATATGTACGTTGCTTTTGCTTAGTCAAGTTATTCGACTAATTTAGCACCTAATTGGCTAATTATTTTCTCAACTTTTTCTTTATTTTTCTCTTAATATTTCTATATATTGCATGAGATGGAACTCGTTCAAACACACGAGTAAACTGTTTATCCAGAAATTTTTAATTGTGTTCGGAACGTACATCATATGTTGTTATATAAGTAGAATGAGGTTTTATTTTTCAAATTGTGCTACTAGCGCTCATTAAGTAGAGATTTTTTCAAGCAGTACATCACATATCATAATATAAGTGAAAAAAATGACTTTTTTTTTTAATATTTCTTCACTCATCGACTGGATGGTACGTGGACGTAGACCTTTCTTGTTTTTTCTCTTTAATGTGATTGGTATAACAAAGACTGAACAACTTTGATCCTATCCTTCTCAACCTTTCACAACAAAAGGAGCCTAATATGTACGTTGCTTTTGCTTAGTCAAGTTATTCGACTAATTTAGCACCTAATTGGCTAATTATTTTCTCAACTTTTTCTTTATTTTTCTCTTAATATTTCTATATATTGCATGAGATGGAACTTGTTCAAACACACACCGAGTAAACTGTTTATCCAGAAATTTTTAATTGTGTTCGGAACGTACATCACATGTTGTTATATAAGTAGAATGAGGTTTTATTTTTCAAATTGTGCTACTAGCACTCATTAAGTAGAGATTTTTTCAAGCAGTACATCACATATCATAATATAAGTGAAAAACAATGACTTTTTTTTTTAATATTTCTTCACTCATCGACTGGATGGTACGTGGACGTAGACCTTTCTTGTTTTTTCTCTTTAATGTGATTGGTATGACAAAGACTGAACAACTTTGATCCTATCCTTCTCAACCTTTCACAACAAAAGGAGCCTAATATGTACGTTGCTTTTGCTTAGTCAAGTTATTCGACTAATTTAGCACCTAATTGGCTAATTATTTTCTCAACTTTTTCTTTATTTTGCTCTTAATATTTCTATATATTGCATGAGATGGAACTCGTTCAAACACACAACGAGTAAACTGTTTATCCAGAAATTTTTAATTGTGTTCGGAACGTACATCACATGTTGTTATATAAGTAGAATGAGGTTTTATTTTTCAAATTGTGCTACTTTTTCACACAAGTAACCCACAATTTATATAATAACACGTGTTATATCATGTTCCGGAAGCACACTTAAAAATCTCACTGAGTTCTGAGTCGGGCATGTTTGTTTTTGAGAGAGAGAGAGAGAGAGAGAGAGAGAGAGAGAGAGAGATTTACATGTTGGTAATATGGCAGACAGTGGAGTTTTCATCGGAGCAATGACAGATGATGGTATTCTGAATTTCTTTCGGTGAGCTTGTATTAGTCCATGGAGATTGGCCGCTGCATGGATCTGCGTCTCCACTGAAATCCCAGCCCGTCTTCCCCAGTGTCTTTGCTATGCCTTTCAAAGTTTGCACTGCATATACGCCAAAATAAAATGCAACAAATTAACATCGTGCTGAACAAAATAGTAAAAATAAAATAAAATTGACGCATAGACAAGAACTACAGAGTGCACCTCAGCATCATATGATTGAAAATTTCTACTAAGTTCACACAAATATCTCTTTGCCTAAGGTCCATTTGATAAACATTTTTATTTTGATTTTTTAATTTATGGTAACCGTTTTCACTTCTCGGAAAAATGTAAACTGAAAACCAAAATCAACCCAAACCAAATTTGAAAACTCAAAAAAAATTATCAAACGAACTTAAAACTATCATTTAAAGAATGAAGAAAAGGAAACTAAGAAAGATTTATACTCGTACCTTCATCATTTGGCAATCGAGTAGCTCCAAAGGCAAAAGTTACAAAGCAAGCTACAAAGAAAAGAGAATGAGGAAGAAGTCGAGGGAAGAACATAATCATCATTTTTCTAGGCAAAGTCTTTCACATTTGAAGAGAAAACCAGAGACAAAAGAATCAGTTTGTGCAGCTAGCTGGATGGAATATGTTGAGAGGTTTTGGAATTTGTTGGATTGTATGTATGAAAATTTGTGAGAGTGGCGAAGAAAGACGACAGACTTGTAAGGAGAATGAGTCTGAAATACAGCTTTTTATTCGCTTGAGGGGAGGGAATGAGTGGACCTCGAAGGACACGAACGGAAGTCAATGACTTGTGTTACCTTACTTGCCCTTAAAACCAAAAAATGAACCATCTATTTTTGAGAAATTTTTTCATATATCATTCTTGCAAAAAATGAACCAAATATAAAACCGTTAAGACATTCAACGGTCATATGATTTCATATTTAAGTGATTTTTGGTAAACATAATATTTGAGGGAAACCTAAAATATAGACGTTTGGATCCTTGAAATACATTACGGAATGAGCCTCACAAAAACAAGTATCAAAAGTTGTGTAAAAATATGGTGACATAAATCTGCCCCTTATATTACTTTTGGCTATATAGGTATAAGTTGGGAGTTATTGAATTGATTATCATAACCTAAATTACCAAAAAGTATTGGATCATACTGCGGAATACTAGTATATGCCCACACACAAAATGTGTGTGAAAATTTTGTATTTTTTGTATTTAAAATGGAAGGAGAGAGGAAAAGAGAGAGAAAGCGTGGGATGGGGAGAGAGAGGAGAGAGCTTTACTTTTTATATTTTTTAATTAGAGTTATGTTAGAATCACATATAGGTGAGGCTATGAAAAAAAAAACAAAATTTTGATTGTGTGAAATTATATTACTGCCCACAGTTCTTATATATGTTCAGTTTTAATTAAAGGGTTAGAATAGTAATTTCATAAACTTTTGGTTGACAATGAGGATTTTATTAATATGTAGTTGACCTAAATTACCAAAAAGTATTGGATCATAATGTGGAATACTAGCATATGACCACATACAAAATGTGTGTGAAAATTTTGTATTTTTTGTATTTAAAATGGAAGGAGAGAGGAAAAGAGGGAGAGAGAGCGTGGGATAGGGAGAGAGAGGAGAGAGCTTTACTTTTTAATTTTTAAATTAGAGATATATTAGAATCACATATAAGTGCGGCTTTGAAAAAAAAAAAAATTTGGTTGTGTAAAATTATATTACTGCCTACATTCCTTATATATGTTTAGTTTTAATTAAAGGGTTAGAATGGTAATTTCATAAACTTTTGGTTGACAATGAAAATTTTATTAATATGTAATTTAGATAATCAGCACCAAAATTTGTATGGACTATGTATTACTAAACAGTGAACGCCTGCCGATATCAAGTTTGGTCGCTCTCTCTCGAACATAGTCCATGCAAAATACTAATCAAAGACAAATTCTAGTAGAAAAATATCATAAAAATGATTTTGAAAACCTTTTTTTTTACCGATACCGAAGGCCGGTCAGATTCAGCTAAAGATATGCATACACACCCAAGTGAAATTCTTTCATAAGGATCCAATTTAAAGACTTTAATATATGAGAATTTTGCATTTTAGTCAATTTTAACCTAAATGGTTGATGAGACGTATGTGAATTTTAGTCATGTAATCATAAATGGATGACTAAGACGTATGTGAAATATTTTTTTTAAGTAAAACTGCAAATAGTTTAGATGGATAGATACCTTGTAATTAAAGAAAACTAATGATAATGGTTTGAAAACTTTGAGTTTTAATCATAAAGACAAAATAAAGGTTAAAACGAATAGAATCAATATTGATTTTTTAGTGTAAAAATGTGATTTTTCTTTAAAGTAAACAGTACCGCAAACTTTTCATTAAAACTTTTTTATAATTATTGCAATTAATTTTTTTTAATATATGAGAATTTTGCATTTAGTCAATTTTAACATACATGGTTGATTGAGACGAATGTGAAATTTTAGTCATGTAATCATAAATGGATGACGGAGACGTATGTGAACTAAATTTTTTTAAGTAAAACTGCAAATAGTTCAGATGGATGGATCCTTTATAATTAAGGAAAACTAATAAAAATAGTTTAAAATTTTTGAGTTTTAACGATAAGGACAAAATAAAAAGTAAAGTGAATAGTATAAGGATTGACTTTTTAATGTAAAAATGTAATTTTTCGTTAAAATAAATAGTACTGCGGGTTTTTCATTAAAATTCCTTTATAATTACCGCAATTTTTTTTAATATATGAGAATTTTGCATTTTAGTCAATTTAAAAATAAATTGACACACCCCGACCGAGATAAAAGCATGCTGGCCGTCACGTGAGAGTGACGTAGCCATGTGCACAGTGCGGAAACAATAATGATAAGAAAATATACGAATAATTAAGAATCACATTACTAGAGTGCACTATTAAACAGGGAGTGATAGGAGTTAGTTACAACAGTAAACACTCCTAATCAGAGCATAAAGTTTAGGTGTAGTCCAGTAGGACAAATACTAGTTATACAGTACCAGGAATGTCCTACTATTATTTAGATAGGTCAGAATTGCCGACGTCATCAAGCCACCAACATCAAGCTTACTTAAAACCTGGAGGGGCGCAAAACAGAAAACGTGAGTGGGCAAAAACAAATGTTTTACAAAACCATTTCATTTATTAACATATATAACCCCTCGTTGTAAAACATGTATAATTTTTTCCAGAATCAGAATATAAGCATATACATAAATGAATATGAAAATATATCAATTCAAATCATACTTCACATAATCATAAGCATATGTATGCCATTCCAAAATATAACAAAGTAAACAATCCAGGTAAGAATGATTTCATAGAAATATGATATGTTAGCCGGAACCCATGTGGTAGTCTGTACGGCTGACTTCATAGCTCAAAAGTCAATCTAGTCAGAGTCAGTACAATGACCTATACGACAATATATTGCACATAAGTCGGAACCACTAAAAAGGGGTTTGTACGACAAGATTGGATGTAATATAATTATGCTCAATTTTACTCTCATAATAGCCGGGAGATAAATCGCTAGTCACCTACGAGTCGGAACCATAAATAAGGTTTGTACGACAAGACTGTGCACTTAAGTTGGATCCAATATGAGCATATAGTGCGGGAGGTGACGTAAATAAATAGGTAAGTACTTCATATCACTGGCTAAATCACAATCACCCTAGGTGCAGTTTAATGAGCTCAACATTATTCAATCACATATCACATCATCGATGATTCACATAACCAAACATAACTTATCTGAACTTACCTGTGCCTCCACAACACCACATTTATATATATAAGGTATCACACACCAATTCATACACGAAACATAATTGTATATGCATGGCATTTATGGCATATTATCATTTAAACATATTTTTCTGGGAAAATATCAAGTATATAATTATATACTGAAAACTAAAAGCCCACTCACTGGTATGTCGACGGGTCGTAACCCCTGAGTCGACCGTGGATACGCTCGTCCTCAGGATAAGTCTCACCTATATGTGAATTAACGATAAAAACGTTATTTTAAAGCACATACACAAAACTAGCTAATAACTTCTCATACAAAGCTCAATTTTGGTATTTGAATATACCAACGCGACCTACACAACCTCACGAACATCGTGATATTTTTAAAATAAATTTTCTGTGGCTCACGAGCCCTCACGCGCCGGGGAGGGCACGGCCCCACGCGCATCATCTTCAACCTCCAAACGCCAGAACAGTGTCGCCGACGCCGGATTTTGGGCATACCCTGCAACTGCCTTTTTCTCGCTCGTTTTTGCACCATTTTTCACACAATTTTCACCAGAATGCCATAAATCACGAGAGGAAGAAGGTTATACCTCTTGGGAGCTTCAAATCCCTCGAAAACTAGTCGGGAAAATTCTACCAAAACTGGCCACCTTCGAACCTCGTGATCCCGACGTCAAAACCGAGCCAACGAAGCACTCTGAGCTTCGTGAGAACCTCCTAGAGCTCGCTGTGAGCTTGGATTGTCCTAAAACATAACCATTCAAAAGTTCATGAATAGTGCTCAACTCGAAGCTTGAGTTTTTAACGTGATATCGAACGAGTACTTACCTGAAATGGGTACCTTTGAACTCGTATGGTCCTCACGAACACAATGGTACCATTTTCTTCCTCGATCTGTGAAGATTTGGCTTGGTTCAAGGTTGTCTGTACGGAGGAGAGGGAAAAGAGTGTGAGTCCGAGAGAGAAAAGAGAAAGTACGGGAGAGTGAGAGAGAGAAAAGATGTGTGGTCCAGATTTTTGGGTCACCAATCAAAACAAACAATTTCCTTACTTCCAATTGGGTCCAAAGACTTAGGAAATTAATGAATGGGTCCAAAATCCAATTTAAATCACACAACATACTTTAACGTCCAAGGGTAAAATTGTCACTTCACGTCATCGAGAATAATCTTCCGGGACAGGCTGTGACAATCTCCCCACCTTATAAAATTTCGTCCTCGAAATTACATACAACCAATACATCCACTAATAATCATAGAACAAGCATGGATACATCTCTCTCATTTGATCCTCGGTCTCCCAAGTAGCTTCTTCCACTGAATGATTTCTCCATAATACTTTCACCAAGCGCACAGTCTTATTCCTTAGTTCCTTATCCTTCCAATCCAATAGAGTCATTGGTTCCTTATCATAAGTCAAATCCGGATTAATTTCCAAAGGTTGAGGAGGAATCACATGTGAAGGATCTGAAACATAATGTCGGAGCATCGAAACATGAAACACATCGTGCACTTTGGATAACTCTGGAGGCAACTCAAGCCTGTAAGCAACCTCACCAACTCGTTCGGTGATCATATATGGTCCAATGTACCTAGGACTCAAGTTTCCTTTCTTTCCAAATCGTACAACACCCTTCCAAGATGATAGCTTTAGAAGTACCCAATGACCTTCATTATACTTCCGATCAGTGGCGTGCTTGTCTGCTACTCTCTTTTGTCGATCTTGGGCCGCTTTCAGGTTAGACTTAATTACCTGAACATTTTGAGTAGTCACATCCACAATCTCTGGCCCACTAAAACTATTTCGCCAACCTCTGACCAACATAGAGGCGTACGACAAGATTTCCCATAAAGTGCCTCAAATGGTGCCATACTAATACTCGAATGATAACTGTTGTTGTAGGCGAACTCCATCAAATCCAAACAA